GATGATGCCCAAAAATAAGGTTCTAAATAACATGAGACATGACGTTAAAGCATGGTCGAGCTTCAAGATTTAGGAGCCATGACAAGGTCACAACATTTTTTGAGGTAAGACTTAATTCGAACATTTATTAGCCTTGCCTTGAGTCGGAAGTGGGACATACATCAACTTGATGTGAAAAATAAATTTCTACATAAGGATTTACATGAAACTGTGTTTATGCACCAACCACAAAGTTTTCATCAATTTGTTGCCCTGGTCTTATGTGAAAACTACATAAGTTTGTATACAACTTAAAACAAGTCCTATAAGCTTGGTACCAAAGATTCACCAACCATCTTATTCACCACAGTTTCTTTTGCAACATAAGTGGCACTTTACTCCTCATTTTCAAATGTAGTACATACCTTGCCTACTTACCATTATATGTAGATTACATTATACCTAACCATGTCCTTTATGAACCTAAATATTGAGCTCATTGGGGCTTTACAATGGGAATTTGACATGACATATTCAGTTCCTTTGACGTATTTTCTGATGGGTTTGGAGCATCCTAACAACCTTAAGGTGCACATACAAACCTAGATGCTTTGGAACTATGTTTTCTCTATTATACATGCAAAATTGATTTCCAAAGCATTGTCCTATCTAGCATGCAATTGTAGGATCTTGTACAATAAAAACTAGATAGAAATACATACATTTTCTTATAGTTGATTGCTTGGAGCTTTAAGTGCCTAGCACCAATAATGTGGGTGCCTCAAGTGGAATCACAAATCACCACACCAACTTGGAAGTTCTTGAGAGAGTATACTAAGCTCACAAAATCGGCTATGCTTCAAGTCTCACACACTAGTGCCGATTTCTAGAGCCTTGGACTTCTTTATATAGTATGGAGGATTAGGGTTACATCCATGTAAACCCTAATACCCATGACCTTTCATTTCCATAGGATCCATGGTTTAAAAGCTCCATGGACTATCCATGGACTTCCATGCAAGCTTAGCCCATCCTAAATGAACATTGGCCCATACTATTAGAATCCATATTTAACTAGTCTCTTTTGATCACCAAATTAATTCTTGATCAATACTAATTAAATAATATGATTTCATATTAATATATTATAACTTATAATATATTAATAAATCATAAATATACTATTCTCAAAAGACTATCCATACAAATTGTTCCGGTGAAATGCAACCCAAATGGACCATGCCGGGTCGGGTCAAGTATATACCAAATATAGTTATGGACTTAGACACCTTATCCAACAGTCTCCCACTTGGATAAGTCTGATAACTATAGTTGCAAGTATGACTTCAGGAATCGACCATCAATCGTAGCTCTTAAAACTTTGTTGAACTATGAAGTGCCATTTTAGATAAGTGATCACATAATCCTCTGTTCAAGATATCAGCCGGACAAATACATGGAACAACGTCGTACTTATTGTCCAGCAGTTCGTTTCCCGATTTCCGATTTGTCTGACATAGAACTAAATTGAACACATCAATTAGGTTCTGACCGGGCCCGGTACATAGGTCAAAACAAAATCATCGAGGGGCCCAAGATATCGCTTTTAATCCTCCAAGGACTAAAAGGAACAAATAAACTTCGACTCATATGCTTGTACTAACTACTTGTTGAATCATACACAAGAGCACGTTTTATAACATCAAGTTACTGATGCGTTTTCGTACAATCAATGTACAACCAACTCATAGTCAACAACTCATATCTCTAGGTTTGAAGACTTATATGATATTACCGTCTCACGATCACTCGAGATAAATTCCATGAAGTGATACAAGTGAGTGTGGGTTTAATGCAATACTCAGAACTTGTGAGCACTCATGAATGTTGCAGCAACATTTGCTATGTCTAAGCACCTTAGACATCTACAAGCCCAATTCATGACAGTCTTGATTCATACCTACTTCCAAAGTATGATTGACTGTGGAGAGTTTGAATAAAGTAATTATTCTGGAAGTCAAAACATGCAAAGTTGAAACAATAGTAAACGATTGACACAAGATAGTAAAACTTTACTCATAAACAAATAACAACTTTTATTTAATCACCAAATGTCAATTACATTTTACAAGTTTCAGAAATAGCTATCTAATTATTAAAACTAATATCGTCCTTCAGCCCGATGCTCCTTGCATGCTGCAAATGCTTAACCCCAGTCAGTCCCTTCGTGAGGGGATCTGCTGGGTTATCTTCTGACGATACCCTCTTTGCCACGAGGAGTCATTCTTCTATCTTGTGTCTTATGAAGTGATATTTTCTGTCAATGTGTCTGTATCTGCCATGATCTCTTGGTTCCTTAGCTAAGGCAACCGCACTATTGCTGTCACAGAAAATCTCCATAGGCTCCTTTATAGCTGGTACAACTCCAAGGTCTCCAATGAAGTTCTTCAGCCATATCGCCTCCTTCGCCACTTCACTTGCTGCTATGTACTCTGATTCACATGTCGAATCAGCTACTGTCTCCTGCTTGGAACTTTTCCAAGTTATTGCTCCTCCATTTAGGGTAAAGACCCACCCCGACTGAGAGCGGAAATTATCCCTATTAGTCTGGAAACTGGCGTCACTGTACCCTATCACTCTCAAGTCATCACTCCCACCGAAGTTAAGGGCCCAGTCCTTAGTCCTTCGCAGGTACTTGAGAATATTCTTTACCGCAGTCCAGTGGGCTTTTCCAGGGTTCCCCTGATATCTGCTGACCATGCTCAAAGCAAAGGCCACATCAGGGCGAGTACAAGTCATAGCATACATGATCGAGCCACAGCGACTCATCTCAGCCTCTCTCTCAATATCCTTATCCCTATGTTGTAGTAAGTGCTTTGGTCCAATTAGCTATCTCCCAAGGTCCTTCATAGTGAAACACTTCCCAAGCCAGGACTTAACCTCCTGTAAGGTCGGGATGTCATTTCCTATGAGTAGTAGTCATCCACATACAGTACCAAAAAGCTAACTATACTCCCACTAGCTCTGACATATACACAGGACTCATCCTCGCTTCTCGAAAAACCAAACTCTTTGACTTTCTCATCAAAACAAAGATTCCAACTGCGAGATGCTTGTTTCAATCCATCCTCATTTGTATATGCTATCATATTGTAGTTGAATTTCATTTTCAACATTCATCCTCATTTGTATAATGTGTTTTATTTTTTTAATCATGGATGATAGTTATCAGGGGATCCTATCTTGCATAAACCTCTCACCTTTTTGTCTTAATATATTTCTACCATGTGGATTTACCATGTTCTTCCATTATTTTTGTTATTTTTGCTTGTCTTCCGTTGGCAATATTTTCAAGGTATTACAATCTCATTTTGTTTTTCACACTTGGTGCTCAATGTAATGTCAGTATCATATTTTTCTTTTCTGTGTTGATTTTATGTTATTGATTCATTTATATTACATATTGTCTACTTTTAATTGGATTTTGATGATCTTCCTGATGACAGGCCTATCAAGGTTTTGATGTTGGAAGTACAAAACCTACTCTAAAACTTATACTTGATGTCACGAGGTGCAAGAACAAAAGATCATATGCATGTTTATTAGAGAAGTGTTATATTATGCTTTAAAATTTTATTGTATTCTTTGTTGTATTATTATTTACGAATGTATTCTATTATTTCAAAAATGTTATATTATTCTTCAAGAATGTTAGTTGTCCAATTGTATTTAATTTTTTAGTCTTCAAGAAAGTCTTTTATTGTCTTTTATTTTTTCCAAAATGTAACTATTATTCTTAAAGAATATCATATATGAACTTATAGTTTATTACTCATTCTTCCAGAAGGATAACAATAACTTGTCACAGTTAGGGTCCACTTTCTCAAATACCAGATCCAACGCTAAAAAATAGAAACATGAAGAAATAAGGGCCTTGTGCTAGGTGTTTTCTCAAACATAAAAAGAGTTGAAGCAATTTGATGAGAATTAAAAAGAAATAAAGAGCTTCTGTTCATGTTGTAAGCAGATGGATGAGCGCAGGGTGTGAATGATCCTCATGTAAATGAACGCTAATATGAGCTATGAAAACCACTGACTTAAGAGCTAACAGACTCCTGACTTAAACGAGACTATCACATTTCCATATTTTCCCTTCCAAATCATGTACAGTGTATAGTGTCATCACTCTGACTTTAATTTGTATTTTGGGGTCAAACATAGGAGGTTTCAAAGTATATTATGAAGAAATGGGAATGGAAAAATGAGAAGAATCTGATAATGTGTGTAAAAAAGAAAATGTGAATAGAAAACAATGATTTAGAAGAAATATGGAATTAAACCTGATTGGTGGATTCATGTTATCCAAGGAACAAGATGATTTCAGTAAGTCTTTTCACAAACACCTGGTATGCATTTGGTGATGCTTATTAGAGACTGTTTGCTTGTTTAATACTCAATAGGTAAAACTAACATTGGATCATGAAATTATCAAGATTGCAAGGAATTTCACACTTGTTGTACCTTGACATATTAACACAAATCAGATTAATCAATAAGAGCATATAAATGAACTATTATGTATCTATCACTACTCTTGTTTCATGCATGAGATGCAAATAAACCAAATCAAGGAAATATATATTAAATAACCAATAAAATAGCAATCATAAAGCACATATAGTCCTTAATACTTCCCTATATCTTTCAATTTCGCCACTAATCAAACCAGAACAAATTCTGAATGTATTAAATTTCAATCCAGATGATCGATTCTCAATCAAAAGCAACATGTCGACTTAAAAAGGAACAATTTCCATGAAACAAAAAAATTCGAGATCAAAACAAACCAAACTGTGAAGGAATAATAAATCGAACCTCTATTTTTCATGCCTCCATCGTCTTTGGATTCCAATGACGTCATATCCTAGTGGAGGAGGTAGAAACGTTTGTGTCGGCTCAACAATGATGTGAGATTCAATAGCAGCAACGGTTAGTGTAACGGGATCTGGTATTATATGGTTTCCGGTGAAACGAGATCAGAATAGAGGAATAGAGGTGCACAAATGTGGTGAACAACCAGATTGGGAGAAAGAGGAGAGGCAACGTTCGATGATTCGGACGCCGTTCACAACATCGCGTTCGCCAACTCCGTCGGAATTTGGTTGCGTTTAGAAGGTAGCGCAGAAGGAGAATACGAGAGATCATCGCTGATATCCGGGTGCAATCATAGGATCGATCGTTGAACCTTACTGTGCGCATCGAGCTCGATACTCAATGTGGTGGTAATTTTAGTGGGAATCGACGGCGGAGAGATCGCGCAGGAAGAGATTTGTCGGAAGGAGGCGGAGGATGGAGTGGGGAGGCAGTCGTGATTCGTGAAGAAGCTGAGAGATGAGAGAGAAAGGGGGAAAGACTTATATTTGTTTGTGAGAAAAAGTGAGTTTTTTAATTTGTTAAATTGATTATTATGGATGATATTTTTAATTCCCAATATGCCCTTGAGTCTATTTATAACATGTCTAAGATGCCATTGAAACAAGAGGTAATTACAATTATGCCATGATCAATCCAAACCATTTAAGATTTTGATCTAACAATCCACCTTTAGTTCTCGGGTTCTCGGAAACTATGAGTTCTCAAATGATACTTCCTCTCTCTCTCTCTCTCTCTCTCTATATATATATATATATATATATATATATATATATATATATATATATATATATATATATATAATAATCAAGCAAATTTAATAATCAATATTCATTAATCCAAATCTTTTTATTACATTTCATAAATACAATCATATCATCGCTTACATAAATGAAAGAAAATCAGGAAAAAAAATCCAAACACAAGCCTATATACACAAACACCTTTCATGACGTTGGTTTGTGTCAATCGCTTGAAGAATCAACCGTAAAGGGTAGCTACATATACGAGTTGAGTTGCAGAAAGGATAATTGTGAATGCCTCCATCGTTCTCTACAATACCAAAGAAACACCCAAATTAAACTCATATTTCATGATAGTTTCTTTTTTTTTTCCGTCCGAAATCATAATTAATAAACTCACCAAGCGGGCATTTCTGCCTTCGAGCTCAATTTCCTTCCATGCAAACCTACATATAATTATAATTTGAAAGTTTCTTTTAGACCATGTATCAAGATCACGTCGTATATTTGAACATATTAAGAGTTAATCGAATATAATACCCCATGGCAAGAACAGTAAGGGCCCATGCAATGATAGCAGATGACACTGCTGCCGGCCTGCTGGTGGAATCCCAAGAACGATAATTGTCAAATCCAGCCAAAATCGATGCAACGCCAGCAACACCAGCAATCAAAGCGAAGGTTACAAAGAATCCCGTGGCTGCATTTCCCATTGGGAAGTAAATTGGCGAAAAATGAGCAGGCAAATCGAATCCTGGACCTGTTTATATATAAATATTAGCAGTGTGTATATATATTTATATAAATCATGATCATGGTGAAAAGAGAACAACAAATACCAATGATGAAGCCATGGTCGATGGCTCTATTCATGGCCCAACCACCAATGCCCAGAAGAATGACGTACATACAGAAGTTCAACACCATAATGAGCGACGCCACTGATCTCATTTGCCCGTTCGCCATTTTTAGGTTTTTATTTTTTATTTTTTTAGAAGACTCAAAAAAGACAAGAGAGATATCTGTGTGTTTGTGTGATTTAGGGTAAGGATGAGATATGTGTCTTCTTACAGATGAGTTTTCTTCATTTATAAATGTTTTTTTGGTTCGTTCCTTGTTGAGGGTGTTTGTGAGAAAGGGTTTTGTGGGGTACGTTGTAAAGGTAATGATTGGGTTTCTTTCGGGTTCAAGGCAAGCTAATAAAAAAAAGGGTATATTCTTTGGTTAAGGCTTTTGCTCAAATATTCTTTATCATATATAAATCATTTCTTTGATTTCATATATATTTGGTTGTCTTTTACTTTTTTATATAATAGAGTATGAAAACTTGTGACAAACTAAAATTGCTTAATAAAAAAGATATGCCATGTCGACAGGCTCGGCCCAAGTACTATCCGGTCCATCGAAACTTGGAGTTGGAGGGGGTATAAATGTAGGCCCATTTACTATATGTATTTTTGAAGCCCAATCGATATTATGGTAGTCCAGTAGTCAGTAGACAATCTAGGAACTCGGATTTTGGAACGATTTTGAATCGATTGGAGTTATGTAAACAGACAAACAGAATTGTTTCTGATTTTGGAGGATTTATGGACTTTGATTCTCGAATTATTGATTTAATGGTTTTGCTGGCAACGATGACTTTCCTACTGTGTGCAATTTCTCTATCATAGTTCTCATTATCACAACTTCTTTTGTTTTTCCTCTTAATGATCCCATTAAGAGGCAAGCTCTGGATCGATCAGATTCAGAGTGTTTGGTTGAAGTTTTTTTTTTACGCTCTTAACCGGGCAGATGTGACAAAAAATGGTCTGGATCGTGAAGAGGCAAGAAGGAGTCTGAATGAAAAAAAAGACTTCTAATACCCTTGCCCTAACATAACACGCCTCCTCTTTTTTTTCATTCTCCCCCGCTACGCATCAGACCCTCCTCCGTCGTTCTCCATTTTCTCAGGCATCGACCACTCCCCCCTACCAGCCTCAGGCGTCGGCAGCTTCCCTGCTGCCCTCCGACTTCATCTCCGCCTCCTCCTGCCGCCCTCCAGCAGCGTTGCTCCATTCCGCCTTTGTTATCTCCTTCCTCGCTTCCTCCCTCCCTCTTATCTGGTAAGTTTTTCTGATTTGTTTTTTTTACTCGAAATTAATGTTTGAATCGTGTTCTTGCTGCTCGATTTTGGATGAAATTGGTGTTTTTATCGTGTTCTTGTTGCTCTCTTCTTTTGTGGTTTGTATGAAATTGATTTTTGTGTTCTGTTCTTGCTGTTCTTCATAGTTTCGTTGAGTTGCTGTATGAAGTTTGTCATATGGGTTGATATTCTCTTGACCCAATCTTCCATTGCTGGCATTTGTAAGGGGAGCAAGTATTGTGAAAGTGCATTGCAAGAAATGGTGAAGTATTTGGGGATTTGATGTCACCACAGGTTAATACCGATAGGATGTCAAAAACAGCCATAATGATCTTTTTTTTTTTGGTAAATGTTGTGAGATATTGTTATAAATTTGTTATATTATGATATAAGGAACCATATATAACAAATTTGGATGTTTTATATGATGTCTAATGTCTAATTTGGATATTTTATGATGTTTAATTTGTATGTAAAAAATAGTTTAGAGGGTTAAAATTGTCATTTTCGTCATTAAGATGCAGGGATTCAGATGCCCCAACAAACATCAATTTTGGTTCAGATAAAGATTCATAAAGATCCTCTTCATCATCCAGATACGAATCATCTAGATGCCACCAAACAGCCCCGACACGAATGGAATCACCATGATTAAGAAACTCAAAGTTTCACAATGGTCATCTGATATTTCTCGTACCATCTGCACAAAGGTTGCACTCGCACAATCCTCGAAATGTTTAACAACTATCACGAATCATGTCAAACAAACTACTCCTGCGTACATTCCCATAACTTCTGATCACCTCAAAAAGCAAAGAACCAATGAAGCTCTTGTCTTTCCGAACAAAGTCTCCTTCCCAGATGTTTATTCGTGCACCAAGATGATCCAACGTCATGTAAGAAACAATCGGCTTAATGACGCCTTGAAGCTGTTCGATGAAATGCCAGTTCGGGATGCGGTTACCTGGAACTCTATGATCAAAGGTTGTTTCGACTGTGGGGATTTGAAGTTGGGTTCCAAGCTGTTTGAAGAAATGCCTGAAAGAAATGTGGTTTCTTGGACGACGATGTTAAATGGGTTGTTGATATATAAAAGGACAGAAGCAGCTGAAAAATTGTTCTTGGAGATGCCATTAAAAGACGAAGCTGCCTGGAATTCAATGATTCATGGATATTTCATAAATGGGAGAGTGGAAGATGCTGTGAGGTTGTTCCACGAGATGCCAAACAGGAGCATCATCACTTGGACTTCCATGATCAGTGGGCTTGATCTAGCTGGAAAGAGTGATGACGCGTTACTTCTCTTCAACCAGATGATGCCATGTGGCATTCGACCCACTTCATTTACATTCTCATCTGCAATAACAGCTTCTGCAAATGCAAAAGATTATCATTTAGGTGTCAAGATCCATGGTCAGGTAATCAAACTTGGTTACCTTTCAGACACATACATTACTTCCCCTTTAATCACATTTTATGCACATTGCAATGACACTGATAGTTCCTCAAAAGCTTTTAATGAGAATCCACAAACTTCTTCTGTGGTAGTCTGGACTTCCCTCTTAACTGGATACAGTTTAAATTCCAAACATGAGAAAGCATTACAAGTATTCTCCAACATGTTTAGATCTAATGTTCTTCCAAATCAATCTTCATTCACTAGTGCCTTAAATTCATGTTGTGAAATGGAAGATTCAAACAAAGGGAATGTAATCAATGGAGCAGCTATCAAACTAGGACTTGAATCCGACATGTTTGTAGGCAATTCCCTTATTGTATTCTACACAAAACATGGGAATATACAAAACGGATTATCCGTATTTAAACAAATACATGAAAAGAATATAGTTTCATGGAACTCTATGATTGTAGGATGTGCACAGAATGGTTATGGGATGTGGGGTTTAATCCTTTTTAACCAAATGATACGTGAAGGGATGTTAAATGAAGCTGATGATATAACATTTACTGGGCTTCTTTCTGCTTGTAGTCATTCTGGCATGTTAGAAAAAGGACAAAATATATTTAATTATTTATTACAATATAAGTTTAAGAAGGTGAAGCTTGAGCATTATGCGTGTATGGTGGATATTTTAGGGCGTAGTGGGAGGTTACATGAAGCTGAAGAGTTGATAAAAAACATGCCAATGGAACCGAATAAATCTACTTGGTTATCTTTACTTAGTGCTTGTAAAATGCATTCAAATTTAAAAATGGCTGAAAGAGTTACACGTGCTATTTTCAACATAGATCAAGATTGTAGTGCTGCGTATACGCTTTTATCAAATTTGTATGCTTTTTCTGGTAGATGGAATGATGTTTTGAGAATTCGGGAGTTGATGAAAAGCAAAGGGGTTATAAAAGAGCCAGGGCATAGTGTTACATAGGTCTCAATATATGATGTTGAAGATGAACAAAAGGCTGTATTTTTGTGCATAAAGTACGGCATTATACACCTCATATTGGTTGAAATGGAGAATGAGAGAAGAGTATTGTGAGACAAAAAGGTCTCATAAAATAAAATTTTTACTCGTAGTATGATTCTGAATGTTGGCTGACTGGGAAAATTCATGAGAGGAAGATGGAAGTGGTGGAAATGAGGATGTTTTGGTGTACATGTGGCACAACTGTGTTGGACATGATACTGATTACTGAATATAGTTATATGAAGTTTGTTGAGAATTGTATTGATCACGGAAAAATTGAGAGAAGTACAAAAAATTATTTTTCTTCCATGTAAGACTTCAACATTGGGGAGGCCTTGAAAAAAAGTTAGTTTTCATTTTATATAATAACTTAGGTTAAATTACATAAAAAAAAACACTATATTTTGCTATTTTGAAAAGAATCCATTGTCATCATGTTATTACTATAGCATGTTATCATAATGATGCTACATTTTTTTCACTAAAGTCGTCCAATTTTAACAAATTTTTTTTGAACGCAATAACTTTTGTTTTTGTTAAAGGCGTTATTATTATTATTTTTTTGTTGAAAAAGCAACGGTATTTTTATGTATTATTTTATTTTATTTATATTTCTTTCATTTTTTTTAAACTATAAAAAGAAGAAAATCAAAGTGTTTGTGGCTGCGAGCACCAAAAACCCAATGCCACACACCATACCAATATTGTTCAATGTATTCTTTTATGTGGTTGTTGGCACAAAACCCGGTCAGATTAGGAAAATATATAATGGGCTAATGTCATAAAAACCCTCAAGTTTTAAGGGTTTTATCGGTTTTACCCAAAGTTGAATTTTATGTCCGTTTTTACCCTAACATTTTCGAAAAAAGTTGTTTACCCTTTTTACCATAAAATTATTACCATTAATTATTTAATAATAAATTTACCCAGCGATAAGGTTTCCAAGTTACCATCATATTAAATTCGCAAAAAAACCCTTAAGTTTACCCTTTTTTTGCGTTTTTACCCTTAAGTTTATAATTTTTGTACACATTTACCCTAAGTATTTTTTTTTCATAATATACGTATTCATGCAGAAAAATCGTATTTATATACGAAAAAATGATTAATTAAATATTGTATTTATATTTTTTTAATGTTATATATATATATATAATATATATAATATATATATATATATATATATATATAATATATGTTTGTTTGTGTGTGTATGTTTGCAAGGTTATAGCATTTAAAAGATAATAGATAGATTTTAGAATTATGAATACGTGTGTTATAGATATAGTTTTTAGAAGTATAATACATATTTTTACATTTTTATATATTAATATGTATCTATACTTCTAAAATATATTTATACTTAAAAAAAACATATATCAAAATACATATTTACACTTCTAAAAATATACGTTATACTTATATAAACATGTTTATGATTCAACAAGTTTTTTATTGATATGTATATTTTTAAATACATAAAAATATGTACCTGTAGTTCTAAAAACATATTAATTTGTGTTTTTTTTTTACATCTTAAATGGTTATCCAAGAAAAAAACCCACACACACCACACCCACACACACATATATATATAATATATATATATATATATATATATATATATATATATATATATATATATATGAAGAAATAACATTAAAAAATTGTAAATACAATATTTAATTAAAATTTTTTCGTATATATATTAAATATTATTTTCTGCATGAATACATATATATGAAAAAGAAAATACAAAGGGTAAAAGTGTAAAAAAAATATAAACTTAAGGGTAAAAACATAAAAAACTATAAACTTAAGGGTTTTTTTTGCGAAGTTAATATAATGGTAACCTGTTATCACCGGTAAAAGGGTAAAACCGAACATTTTTTGGAAAATGTTAGGATAAACACGGACATAAAATTCAACTTTGGACAAAACCAACAAAACCTTGAAAACTTGAGGGTTTTTATGACATTAGCCCAATATATAATTGTTAAGGTGAGTACACTATCTTTAAAAATATTTGTTTATTTAAGGGTGAAATATATATGATGCTTGTGATTTTTTTTTAAAAAAAAAATCTTATTTTTAGGCTGCAAATTTAATAAAGTTTCAAGTTGCATTTCATTCGGAAAAAAAAAGATTCAAAATAATGAAAGTGCAGTATTTATTTTTGGGCGGGTCGGACATTAGAAATATGAAAAATAAGTCAATGCCAAACTATCTAAAAACACACATTTTAATTTAAGTTATAGAAAAATGACACATAAGCCGAAAATAATCTCAAAACATGTTATTATAAGTCAAAGCGGTCAAATTTGAAAAGTTTGTTATTATGAGCAATGTTTTAAAAACCGGTTTGAACCGGCCGGTCGAACCGGTTGGACCGGGAATCGGGGAAGGAAGCGGTTCAACTATCACACGTTTTATGTCTATTTCTGAACCGGAACGAACCGGCTAGTTTTTACAAAAATCCGGTTGAACCGGTTCAATTAAACCGGTTGAACCGGTTAAACTGAATAAAAACACATGGAATCGAAACCTTTTGCATAATAAACTTTGGTAGTTTTTTCACATTTATTAAAAAAATTCTGAATAAAAGCACATGATAAATGTTATGAAGTTTTTTGATACAATTATATTCATCTACGACTTTATTTTCTTTTTAATTCACGTGGATTGATGTAAAACTTATGGTTATGAATTATTTTAATGCATTTAGAATGATCTACAATTTGTTTTCATGTGTAATTTAATGTTTGAACTTGTGGACATCATATTCTTGTTTGTGTACGTAGGTATGTCAACGAAAATACGAAAAAATATGAAAATTATAGAAACCGGTTTATTTAAC